CACGTTTTTCTAGGGGAGGAATTCGAAAAGGGGGATGTGCGCGTGGGTACCGGAGGGCCCTGTAAACCACGTATTATCGTACACTAAGGAGCCTATTAACATTTCACAGGTTATATCATGTCTCGAAGTTTTTCTATTGCATCAATTCGGGGGTGTTGTTGTTTTCCTTAGAGGGGATCTTGTTGTGGTTGCTCCTAAATTTCTTTTGTTCGCGTTTCATCGAGCGATTGAAACGATCGTTGTTCTAAAATCCAGCCCAGAGAATCATCGCTCACAAAGCCGAGTAGCACACAGCACAGATCCCACAGATTTACATGTGCTGTCGTTGAAATCATTCGTTTTGTGTCTCTGCAATATTCTATGAAAAAATATTCTTTCTGAATTGATGCAAAGACACCGGGCATCTGTATTCAAATAATTGCTCTATTGCATACCGGTGCCATACTTTGCAATACCTGTCTGGCGCCTTTTTTATGGCGGTGGAAAAGAACATCCGGAGCACATTTTTTTCAAAACCAAGCCGACAAAATAAATCCAATCGACCATGGAACTACTGAATGCAAATCAAAGCAGCATCTCCCCGGAAAAGGATTTGCGGCGTTCTCGCAACCACAACTCCAATGGCACGATTTCAAATCACGACTCGAAGGATCCCAACCTTTACAAACCAAAGCGTCGGCAACGGCCGTCGATCATGGATCGGATACTAAAAGCTTGTTTGACAATCGAAAGCGGGAAAGGTAGCATATGGCGGGGTGGGTTGGGAAATGCGGTGTATCTCCGCATCAAGCTCTGTAATAGGATAGGAACCTACGGGCCTTCGGCATCCAGAGACAACCTACAAGACGCTCTTGAACTTTTGCATCCTGCAATACAGCTGCAAAAGGAAGCAGAAGAAACACCGTCGCCCCATTTTAGTTTGCTATCAAACAACTTTGTCGGATCCCATTGCTTGCTCGTGAGTGTATTGATGCGATTGGGAAAGATGGAGGAAGCGAGTACCGCAGCCCGGTGCGTCACGGATAAGCTCGAGGACCTGTACGAACAAACCACGGGCAACGCGAAAAACAACACCGATTGTTCTATCCTTTTTGGTCTTGCTGGTGGCCTCCAGGCCTTGTGGTTCCTCCGTCGAGAACTCGGAGATGATTCCTTTGGAAGCGATCTCGCTCTGACCATGAGCTACTCGATCCTTCTAGAGGGACTGCAGGACAACGACAACTACGGCATGCCACTCCTCTGGGACTGGAATCTCTGGCCCTACCTCGGTGCCGGAACTGGTGCCGTCGGGGTGTTGTACGCACTCCTTGGGCACACAGACGACGAGTGGGCGAACCTGGGGGACTGCCTCCCGAATGCTAGGGAGATTGTCCGAGAAAGCATCGACGGGCTTGCTTGCCACCTGTACGAAACCACGGGAAACCTGAAGGACTCGGTCGGCGGATTTGAGGAATCCGATCGATCGGTCGGCTGGACCCACGGCGGAGCCGGATATTGCCTGCTCCTCCTCAAGGCCTTTGGCGTGTACGGCGACGAAAAGTACGTGCACTGGGCCGTGGAATTTGCGGACGAGGTCCTCTGGCCGAACCGGACGCGCTGTGAGGGGCCGGGCCTCGCGAGGGGTGCCCCGGGCATTGCCTATGTCTTTCTGGCAATGGCCAGGGTCGATTTCCACAGGAGTGGATTGTGGAAGCAACGGGCCAGAGATGTGGCTGCCACTGTTCTCGCAGAGACCAGATCGGTGCTAGTGCATCCTCAAAACAACAACTATTCGCTGTTTGACGGCATCGGGGGCCTCGCATCGTTGCTGATCGATCTCGAGGATTTGGAAACCACTAAAACAACAACACCCTGGTGCTACTTTCCATTCTTTGAGTCTTGCCAGGCCAACCTCTGTCGCAAATTCGAGTACTTGACAAAAAGGGAAGACCATCCTCGATTGTTTTCTTTCCGCATAGAACGCAAGAATTCTACTTGCGACGACAATCGCGAAGCCAAGCGAGCATTTCTGCAGTCGAAACCTCCCGCACGCAAGACCAGCCCCGCCGCAACTTTGTCAACCACTGAAACTGCTACGACGGCTCTCACCACATCGGTGTCCACAAACCCATCGAGGAATCCACATCGCAGCGGAAACGCCAGCAATGATGCGTTCCAGCTTTCGACTCCCAGGAGCATCCACGCGTCTGACCGAGCGGCCCTGGATGTAAGCCACTTGACCATGGACGACACCTCCAATATTCCTATAGTGGTGGAAGCCGCACCGCCGCGGCCTTTTATGGCAGCGAGTCCGCCAGGGCCCTCTATTCCCGAAGAAGAAGACTCTCTGATTCGCACAACCCGCAAGGTTTCCGTGGATACACCGCCCGCAAGGCGAACCGCAAACGCAAAGCCCCCGCCTTGTTGGAACGACTGCGCGTACGACGAGGCCTTTATGACCGACAGCGTCGAACGGAAGCAGCGCGCGGAAAAATCCTGGATCCAGCATTTTGGAACAAGGGAACAAAAGCTCCAATACAAACACTGTAGCGGAAGCACGTATAATGCAACATGTAGCGGAAGCCGGAGCCGACGAAACTTCCGCCACATGGTGGGTGGGTTTTCGAGCCTGCCAGAGAGCGGCCCACCAAATAAAGAGACGACAGCGTGTGAATTATAATTATACTACTAGAGAACTGATCTTTTGTACTGTAAATAATAAATAATTACATTACTGTATTATGAAGCTTTTTAATTCTTTCGGGTATTTCTTATTTGTTGTGCTCGATTTCTTACAGTCGCTTCGTAGCTGTGTCGTGTATGGATGGATGGATGAATGAGAGGTAGACGCCGATACGTGAACGGATGGATGCAAAGGGACCGGTGGTATTGATTGGTTGGCGCGATTTGTTGCGTAACAAAAAAGCACAACCGAAATCGGAGACCGCTTTCGCTGCCCACAACCCGGGGCTACACGTACACCGCCACCTCGCTCTCCTCCCAGTGGGTTCCCTTCCGAAAGGCCGACCGCCGAAAGCTCTTCTGCTCGTGCCTCCGCTGCGCCCGCTTTTCTCCCTTCCTGGCCACCTCCCGCGCGGTTACGCCGCCCCAGAGCGCGCCGACGAGCACCCCGATCGGCCCCAGGGCCACCCCGCCGACGACCATGCCCCCGATCGTTCCGGCCGCGGTCTTGGTCTTGCGCTGCTTCTTCATCCGGCGCTTGCCGGGGTGCACGTCGTCGTTGTAGTCCGACCCACCCGCGTTGGTAAGGTGCTTCGGGGGCGGGATCTCCAGGTCAAAGCCGGTCCCGTCCGGCCTCGGGACCGCGTGGGGCCGGGGGTCCGTGCTGCTTTCGCTGCGTTCGTCCCGGTGCCTTGCAAAGTAATGCCTGTAGGCCTTTCCCTTCGGGGACGACCTTCGGTTGGTCAGGTTGAACATGGCGAATTCTTCGCTCCCGTACGAGTGCGACAGGGTTTCCGATCGGGTTGCGATCGACGACGAGTGCGACGACAATGAGGTGGAGCAGCAGGACGACGGCGTCGGGGAGACCGATCCGAATCGGTGTTCGTTTGTTTTGGTTGCGGTTGCGGTTGCTGGTATGCGGGATGAGGAGGGTTCGCGCTCGCGCTCGGAGGTTGCCGTTCGAAAGCTGGTAGTCAGCGTGGAAGTCGGGGACACCAACGAGGAACGGCGATCGATCGAGTGCGGGTACCAATCGGAGGGATTTCGGCCTTCCCTGTTGTCGCATTGGTCGTAGAGATGCAATGCCATAGTGCGTTGAGTTGTGCTTGGTGCTTTGGTGGATCCGTTTCTTGTGGCTCCTGGTACTCTCGGTGATTGTATGCGCGATGCACTGTAGAATGTATTTTGTCGAAGGAAATCAAATTATGGATTGCGTAGTACAGTAATTGTTTCGGTGGCAACAACAGATGCTCAAGAATTTGCTTTGGTTTCTTTGGTTTCGTGAAACCGAAATATGGGCCTGCCGTACCGTACGATAATCGCTAGGTTTGTTGTTCGACAAAACAACTCGGAGACGACTTCGAATATCGTCGGGGAACCATTAAACGTACGCGACGAGTACGTACGGTATCGTACGTTACCGTACAAAAAATACAATACAATCGATGATCGTATGTTCAAAACCGATGCGATTGCTGCGGAATTTTTAGTGCGGTACGAGTTTTTTCGTACTTCATTCTACGGAAACGTTTCTTGAGGGAGTCCTGTCGTGGCTGATTCTTGATTTTGATTTGACCGTTACTTGTCTCAAGCAAAGACAGTCCGTACCTATGTGAGAGGACCACGGGAATCTAAACTCTGATGGATTATGGTTTATGTAAACGATGTATATCAAAACCTTTTATTCTATAGTTTCCTACGCCCTTCCCTGGTGGCTTGTCCAGCGCACCGTATCCTGTGGAACATACCTTCCATGGTTCGTTCGTGCTCTGTGTCGACGATTATGATTGGATGATTCATTTCGTTTCCAGCTTGCTGGCCGGCGTCAACAGAAAAATTCTGCGAGGAGGCACGGTACAATTCGAGAGCTTTGCGGCGTCGAAAACTGGTTGAGTCACTAATCTAGTTTAGTCCTGCTTCAATTCAATCCGGGTCGAAAGGCTCGACGAAGGTACATACAAGCTCTTCAATCCCGTGGAGAACCGTTCGTGACCAACTTCTGTCGCGTTGATACTCCAAGATCGAAACTCCGACTAAAGACATACATACTCCAGCTAAAGAATGACCAAAACGAGCAGTTTGCAATGCTGATGATTAAGCCATAAAATGTACTCACATGACTTCCGGCCGAAAAATGGCATTTCTCACTAACCGCTTATTGCACTTCACATGAAATAAACGGCAATCGTCCTATGTGCTCTTTAGTGCGGGACTTAAGTGTTTTCTCAAAAGTGTTCTTTTCGGAATGCGCCTTTTTCCCAGCGCAGTCGGTTTGGGACCTCCTATGCTTTCTGTGAACACTACCTGCGTCATAATTCTGAATTCTAAGTGAACGGTTTCCTTCGACAGGCGCAACAGCAAAGACGAACGAACGAACGAACGAAAACGATACCAAGCACACAAACACAATTTGAACCATGGGCTGCCAGGCATCGAAAACAGTGCCCCTGAACGAAATCTCTGCGTCCAAAACCGCTTTCATCGTCGGCCGCACCATCTCCTTTGGAGAGACGGAAAACGCCGACGATTCCTCGGTGATCACCGCCGAGTCCCTGAACGAGGAACCCCCGTTGGTTCGACGCAACCTGCACGATCGGAATTCCTTTGCCAAGGTCGGGACGTGCAAGTACCGCAAGCTCCGCAAGATGCGGGAGAGGAGGCGAGAACAGGAACGATACGAAAGACGCGCCAGAGTCGTGGTGGTCGTCCAGCAGTAATACATAAACGAACGAACAAACAAACAAAGACACCGTTCCCAAGAACCGAGACAACGCAATAGAAACCATCGCGAACGAAAGACGCAGCAACGGACGGACCGTCGCGGCCAGTCGAGAACGTGAGGTGTAGGTTTGGTGCACTAATACCTCGAGTCGAGCTCGATATGAATACAATGCTCGTCATCGTTTCCGATAACAACAAGAACAGGCCATGATGTATAGTAATAGAGTGACATGTATATATAAAACGTGAATATGAATAATCACTCGACGAGTGCATCAAGTCTGTCAGTACATCCGACCAACAGTAGGTTTTTCGAATTTTTCTTGTGGGCTATCGGTTATGGTTGCTGCTCATGGATTGTTGCATCTTGCTGCTCTCTTTATTGCGAAGTACTCGTGCTGCTACCGGCACCAATTGTGAAAATGCATCAGCAACAGCTGCATTCTTTGTTTATGCTGCTTACTCCACAATGAATCCACCCAGTGCTTGAAATAAGCTTGACGAATGGATTTCATGTTGTATATGTAACTTGAGCGTGGCTTATTTTTCGAGCGAAAAATAACCGAAGAAACATCCCAAGAAATCTTGCCCCTGAATTGTGAACTTCAAAGGGGGTGCGCGCTTGCGTTCCGGAGAGCCCATTGCCAAACGAAGTACCGTACCTGTTCGTTCGAGTACTATTCGTAGCGTCTGCATTTTGCTCTACTGTAGTTCGTACTTGTATTTGACTATCCTCCATTAAAAACGAAGTACCGGTACGTATTATGTCCCACCTGATGTCATTTGTTTTTCGTCACAAGGTTATCTTCGGACACGTATCGTACGCCCTCTTCAATTTCATTACCAATACAATACAGGTAGTGGTTCAGTCACCATATAAGACGTTGATGAATGAAAAAGAAGAATGTTCTCTGCGATCAAGACAGCACACACATATAAGTACCACTATTCAAAACAATCGGTTTGGAACTGCGTAAATAAAGTTCACAAAAGTGACAGACACGTTTCAACACCTTATGGCATGCAATTTTCTAATGTCAGTCAATGATGTTTTTCTTTTTGCTGAGGTTGCCCTAACACGTCTCAATTTTAACGTGTTTCTGTTCCAGTAGTAAAACAAGTTTTTGCTCCCATTCGCGTTCACATGCAAAGGTATCCACGGCAATGCATCAAATAGGGAAAGAGTACCTACATGGCTGAAGCAACTACGATAGCCTTGTAGAATTCAATCACATCTTCGAACAGAAAAATCAACAACCATATAGCATGCAATCACTTTTCAAACCAGAAGACAAAACCGAGAGATACTTTCAGCACCGTTATGAAACCACTTGCCCCTAGAAGATTTAGCAGTACCAGTGGCTCTGATGCGCCTCGACAAGAACAGATGCCTCGCAACGATGCAATCGATGTCGGTGAAAATATTGAGCGTCTTGGCCATACCGCTCGTAGTGATAGTGATAGCTCAGTTACAAATACCAGTGGCGTCGCAAGTTTGTTGCCGACTCCCTCAAAAAATCCAAGACTTGAATCGGGCATTCTCACGAAACGCAAGGCGGCAACGAGTATCGACAACGCTGGCATGTATCCTTGCTCCAACCCAAGGGGGTTACTCTTATTGAGCTTCCCTCTGAAACTTCATTTGCTGCTCCAGAGATGTGAATCAGAGAGGATTATTCGAATAAACAACAAAAAGCGACGGATGGGCGATAGACGCGGCGGCCGAAGCCATGGTGCTTGCTCTGGGGTGATCGTTGATGCGGGCAAGACAACCGATGACGATATCGTTGTCGGTTGGTTGCCCACCGGAGGCTTCAAGATCTACGACCAGGAACGCTTCGTCCGAGAAATAATGCCATCTTATTTTTTCGAAGTCGGAAAAAACAAAGCCTCCTTTGAAACCTTCAAACGGAATCTCGAACTATGGTACGTACCGGCACCATGCCCGAACGAATTGAGTATGCAATGGCAGAATTTGGATTCGATTTTCAGATCCTCGTCATGCCTGATTTTGGTGTTCGTGCTTATTTGCTCACATCGTCTGCCTCACTCTCTACATGATGTGATACACACCATATTCGTTGTTATTCACTCCAAAACAAAATGATTGCTTGCAGGGGTTTCTCTCGCGTTCCGTTTGTTGAGGGCCCAACGACTCGGACCGTACATATTTGTTCTCATCCTCATTTCTTAAAAGGGCGTCCAAGCGCTTGTAGAAACATGAAATTTCGTATCGAACCATGATGTGGTCTATTGCATTCCCTCCCGACTGGAAATGTTCTGAGGAACGCGAAGTGGTATTCGGTGGATAATTCCCTCTGGAGAGGAAATAAATAATTGATAGATAAGAAATAGATTTACTTTGTTCCAGAATCGATAGTCTCTGTCATCCGTATATCCATTCAATGGGACATATGTGCTCAATGTGATGACACTACATCTGGTCTTCTGATGAACCAATTATTTGATGGAATTTTTTTGCATTATTGAAAAATCTGGAAATTGTGCACCACACTGGTTCCCTTCAAGTAATGAAACTCACTAAGTAGTACAGTTCTTATTATATCAAGTACAAAGTACCTGGAGCTACCAAAAGTGGAGTAAATCAAATCAAATAGATTTTATGTATTACCTCTTGTAATAATATTAGTACTAGTTACATTTAAAAAGAGTGGTGGAACAAACAAATAAAATCTGTGCTGGCAATGGATCATCAAAATCAATACTACTAGTACTACTAGTACATACTACTACATTTGATAGTAATGTGGAAACAAAAAAAACTTGTTCAATTACTGCTTAGTAAGGAGGAGGCAGGAAGTACTAACAATTTTTCACAACACTAGTACTACTAGTACTAGTAATACAAAGCAATATGGTAGGATAAAGAGGAACAAGAAGATGAAACAACAATGACGATGATAATGACTCACTGACGTGGGATACCTCAAAAACTCATATTGTACTAGTATGGTGATGCAGAGATCATTATTCTTCTCTTCTTGGTAATGGTAGTACTATAGTATGCCTCTGGTGATAGTAGTATACTACTACTAGTAGCTCCTGTTGTGAGGCTAGCTAAGTGGTGGGTGCCATTTTTTCTTACTCCCACCAGTCAGTCACACAAAGCACCACCATCATACAAATAATCATTTCTTTGCTTTTCAAGAAGCTTTTGACTATTTTTTTCTTTGTCAAACATATCATCGCTTCTGCTACTATGGTGAGTACTAGTAATATTACTACTACTATTTCACCAGTACAAGTACAACCAGCTACTACTAGTAGTGGTGGCATCTGCTGCTTCTTGTATTCCTTAACAACAACAACAACAACAACAACAACAACAACAACAACAACAACAACAACAACAACAACAACAACAACAACAACAAAAATTGAATGTTCAAGTTCTTCCTTACTACTAGTACCATGGTGAAAAACTAATCTTGTAGAAAATGCAAGAATTAGTAAAAAATTGTAAAAAGGACTGGAGTTAGGAGTACTAGTACTAAACAGAAGGTTTAAGAAGAAGAGAGCAAAATGAGTTCACTCAAAAACCTAGTAGTATTTAGAAATTAGAAAAAATGATAGTAATATGGGTGGGCTACTAGTAGGCAGAGATTGTCCAAAAACATTAAGCACTCACCACAGATGATGCAATACTATTTTACTAGCGCTCCTCCTACTAGTAGTACAAGAATAGTAGCAGTACAAGAAGTTTTGTATCTGAGGTGTAGAAGAACAACCCTCTGAGTGCTAGCTACTAGTTATTGTATAGTATGGGCCAAGAAAAAAAGACAGTTCCAGTAGTACATTAGCAATTCTAGATATACGTACATGTATGTCAATCAATACTTATTGTACGCCCTACTCCCCCATGGCATTAGAAAGCTCTTTGAATTCTCTTTTTAACCATGTCGTGCTTATCATACTTAGCGTCCATTGGGGAAAAAGTTATAGCTGTTCAAGTGAGTTGAACATCTCTTAATGCCCTACATGTTTTTTGTGATGCAGGTGGATAACCAGCCATCTAATTACCGTGTAATGACTCCTGGGGGGATTCAAAATTGGCTTGGTATACTGCAGCTACAGCCGGGCACTTGCTGAATTTTTGAATCCCACTAGTGTGCGATCAAAATAGTTTTGCTCACACATGCACTCTGTAAACTGCAGTACAAGCCAATTTTTAATCCCACAAGTCATTACTTGGTAATTAGATGGCCCAAAACATATGACTGGGACCGTACATTATTTAGCCAACGCTATACAATAGTAGTCTAACCACCAAGAATCCTCCTCCACAAAAATCCTTGTTGTTATCAACTACTATTAGACTTTTAGTAGTAGTAGTGACAATGCGTAGGCGTTGTCGAGGACGATGGCGGTGACGACCATATGCGCTGTCAATGTATTGCTCAAAGGTGTGTGTCGACGCTGTGTCAGTAGAGTTCGTATTGAGGAGAGAGCACGCCTAAAAGATTATAGCCATGGTGGTGATGAATTTTTTATTGGAAGGGTGTCATAACCTGTGGGAGTGACTGTCCTAAAAGTGATGTAAAGTGTGTGCTAATAGAAAAGTGAGTCGATGCTCTTATCGAGGATCGACAAACTATGAAATCTAAAATGGATTGCTGTGAGGATCGAGTGATGTGTGAATCGAATGAGTCGAGTCACTCACGCAAGTGAATGAAATGAGTCATGGCGATCATATGAATCCAATGGGATCGCATGAGTCATATATGTATGGTGTGTATGAATTGTAGATACGTATCTTATGTATGTGTCGTATGTATGAATCATACCCACGGTCTGATATCCTACAGACAACAAAAATATTGAGTAATAGTCGTATTATTAGTACTACAGTCAGTACAACTTTGAAAATAAGGAGAAAGCTTCTTGTTACAACAACAAGTGGCACTTCTACTAGTAGTGCTAGCTACAATTAAGAATTTCAGAGCTTAGAAGTAGTTGTACTAGTATTAAAATTGTAATTGTTGCTGCTGTTGTTGTGCTCCTACTGCTATGCGATGTAACATTCTCCCCATTTCTTTACAACCTAGAAGTAGGATTAATTTGTATCACCAGCCATGGACAGAAGATGGAATCTCAATATTATATTCAACCTCATGAACTAGGGAGGGGCTGTGTGGTGGGCCAGAACCAGAACTTCTGGGGAGAAGAATGCTACTTCTGAATGTTTCTATATCCTTTGGGATTAAATGGCGTCACAAAAAGTGTTCGCAAGCAGTAGCGACCGCTCGCAACCTTTTTTTTTTAAATACACACCCATTTTTTTTTTCACGCGCCCGCTGAACCTCACACATAGCATGGTTTTGGTCGCGTTCAAGCATAAACTTAGTTGCGAGGGTTGCGTTGGGTTGTTATGGAAAACCAGTTTTATTTCTGTTCCGAGGTAGAAGAAACCCTGAGTCCCACCACTGTTATGTTCACCGTTGTTGAGCCAGAACTTGTTCACAATTTAAAAACACGTTGAACCATATCCCTATGCTTTTACCAAAATCCGACTAGTCCACGGTGC